GGTGAGGCCACACTAAATGTGAAACCTTCAAGATTATGCTCAACACAAACTCTTTCAATGTTATGCTCAATATTGAATATTCTATATTGTACTCAGTACATTGAGCTGAATACAGAAAAAGAACTTCGACATAAGCGCAATACAGAAACTTCCATACTTTGTTCAACAAGAAAGTAACAATTAATCTTAACATGTGGTTCAACATAACACCCCAACACAGAAGGTTCAATGCTATGCTCAAACAGTACCAACATCTTGCACAGGGCACAATCTGTATGGTACACTCAAACTAGAACCTTCAATGTTGATGAAGCGAGTTTCAATGTTGTGCTCCACATAAAATCCCACACACTATGGTCACTAAGAACCTTGTAGTACTGCGCCCGACTGAGAAACTTCAATGCTCTGCGTAACATAGAAGCTTCGTTCAATACTGGGTTCAGCACAGAAGCTTCAACATTGCAACACAGAAATTCCATCACACTCAACACAACATTCACAACACAGTATTCTCATTCCATTAACAAAAACATAATGAATGCAGCCAAACAGTATCCATTACGTTCAAATTTATAAATGTGCAATCACTGAACATAATGTACAGTGTATATTCAAAAACTCCATCTCGAAATCGCATAAAGCATGTCATGGAAGATAAATGACAGATGTCACACATACAGCATTAATGTGTGAAATCTCATCCTCGAAACACAAATCACGATGTCATATATATATAAACCCACACACACACACACATGTAGAGAAATTATTTAAAACCATACACAATCTATAAACATAAGGAATGCCTTAAAACCTATAGCCAAAAAAAAAAGTTACCCACCATTTTCCAAGAATGAAGTCCATGCCCATTGTGCTTAAAATCTTCTAAGGCCTTCCACAAATTGCAATTTCCCACTTCTTCGAGTCCAGCAGCATTCTTCACGGCATAGAATTTCATCATTCAAGAGACGTTTTAATTGAACTTCGCAAAAAAAAATCTTCAGCAGCAAGTTTCTAAAAAATTCTTGGAATGATCGATTTTTTTATAAAAGTCAAAGAAAAATGGATACGTGATTTTCAGAAAAATCTTCTCACTTCATATTGTGAACACAGGGTTGCACATTTCCAAACAGCAGTTGGCACACTCAGGAATGCCAACTTTTCTTCCAATTAAACATCTTCTGTGGAGAATTCTGTACTTACTGTAAAGAAACACTTCTCACTCAGACCTTTAAGTTGGTTAGTTCCTCTTTTTATGTACATTATTTACCTACAATAGAATATAAAATGAGTACCCTTTGCACCAACACACCTAGCAACTATACAAAATGGTATTTTAGTAAGGTTGGGGAAGTACTTATTTATAATGAATGTATTAAAAGCAAGTACCAAATCAACAGCAGTAAGGCCATCATTGTACACAGAAATATGGACAAGATATCCGCAGTAAAAATGTATGTAGACTTATGTGTACTCATGAAAAGCAGGCATGCTTATAAAAAAAACATAAGACAGGTCATAGAAGGCCAATACCCAATCAAATCAACAATATTCATGTAATTCAACACTTGATATAATAAAACACTGCCTATTGCTACTTCCTACTGTTTACAGTGGTGAACCAATACTGCTCAAAGAATTTTGACAAAATAAGTCATTAAAACTGATGACAATCTGCATGGTTTTCCAAATCTAGATAAAACAGGGAGCAGATACACACCACTGCACATAATAGAAAATGCAGTCTTTACTAACAAAATCCCAGGACCATGGTCAGTTTCTTCCTATAGAACATCTCCAGCTAAATTTTGAAAAAAATTCAGAGCAGAGTTTTATCACTTTCGAAGTTAACATTACAGACATAAATTATTTAGAGACTTTGCTTCAAACCACAACTCTCCAACCTAAATACATCTCACCCAATTCCAGACTCGCATTCATTTTTGTATCTGGTTAAAAAGTCTGAACAACCCCATATACTATCAAAACATCCTCCAGTCTCTGACAAGCTAAATGTACTACCCCTCTCTGCACCCTACCTTGGCTCATCCCACGCTGTCAAATCATCTGGAGGAAATGGGACGCAACTCAATTCTTGAATTTTGAATGACATGAATAAAAATGTATTTTATGTATAAATATGCTATGGAGCAGTCCAACTTGCATAATCTTAAAACCAACCTACTTACACTTACTTTACCTGTATATTAACCTATGGCAGATCGATACTACTACTCTGCCACACTAGTAGTAGTGACAGTTTTTCCCACCCCATTTGTAAGAAACAAATACATAAAAATGTGGTAACTTACTGCACGAAAATTCTATGAGGTTACATCTTTCTGGAAACCCTACAAGGTCCCGTCACGGACTCCTTGTCCTACTTTTTATCTTCTGCCCTCCTTTCTCTGTCCCACATTCATGGTATCACACAACAGTCTCACCCCCTCACCTATGATGAAGCCCCTTTCCCCAGGCTCAGCTCTATAAAACTCAGCCAAGACACCGTGCTCATCCTCTACAGCACACACAAGGACTATACCCTCGTTTCCTTTACCCACTAAGTCCACACTTCGGAAGTTCACAGATACCTACGACGCTGTTCTCTACAGGTCAGCCAATTACAGCAAAGCTTATGCACTTCCATTCATATCAAGCTTATCCTACTCTCACCCTCCAAATCAGTATTGTGAATGACCTAGCATTGTCTGGGCTCTGCTATGAAGTCACATCAGGCTTACAGCAGCAAATATACTTAAAGGTCCTCCAGCCAGTTTTCATTTTTCCCTTCAACTGTTCCTCTATTCTACATTGCTCCAGGCTTCTTTGTACTTCAGCTCTTCCCTTCCCTACATATACCCTCCTCATTCTCTACTTTGTTCTTTTGTCGCATTGCCATCTTTTTACCCCACCCAGTATCCATCCTCTTTCTTTTTCCTCCTTTCTTAAGGTCTTCATTCTCTGTACTAGGCATTGTGTCCTTTTTGGTTCCTATTTCTCTGCCTCCTGAATCCCATGTCTTTTTTTATCTTTCATTTCCATCTTTCCTCTTTGTCTGTTCAATATATCTGACTCACGCAGCTAATACATTTCTGTTAACAATGTGACAAGGGAAAGCTCTGTCTTCCTTGCAACACAACGCTCATTTAATCTCTGTCCTAATGTCCCTTTCTTTCCAACGTTCCCCTTCCTCTCTACCATCCTCTCCTGCTATTGGGTAGAATTTCTCTTTGTCTCTGCCCTGACTCTATTCCCTTCTATCCTGAACTATCTTTCATTCCGATCTCTTTCTGAATGCAGCTCAGGCTAACATCTATTCCTACTCTGTTTCATTAATTTTGTTTCCAGATGACCTGAAGCCTGTTCCAGATGATGGCCAAGAATACAGACCAGCATAATTATACTGAGCTTTGCAATGTTTGTGTATTGGCTCCATCAATGCTTGAATTTAAAAAAAAAAAAAAGTCAAGTGCATGTAATTCCATATCTATTACAACATGTTTCTAAATGTATAAGTTTGACTAGCTCTATATCCTATGGGTGCTAAAGCCCCTGTACAGGATTTGTGGAGTTATTTAATAAACAATAAAAAGGTAAGTCAGAATCTGGAGTTCACATGTTTAAAAACGTTTATAAAATGAGGGCAGACATTGCTTAAATGTGTAAGTGTGGGTAAATGTGGAGTTCTCTGCCCCCCCTTTAAGTACACAACTGACCTGAATAACTAGGGAAGGTTACAACCAGCTGGATAGTCATGGGATACAGGCAGACAGTCTGGGGTGGAGATGCAAGGGGTAGTTACTGAGCCTGCCCTGCTATTGATTTGCAGCTTTTATGGATTTTTTACTGTTCTCCTCTCCCAGCAAGGCTGCCTGCCTGCCTGCCAGCGCATGGCTGGGATAGGCAACCAGCTTCATTCACTGCACTGCAGTGCCTGCTCACCCACCCATAATACCCCCCCCTACCATTCCAGGCCAAATTACATCAACTGGTTAAGCTTAATCTGCTTGAAGTTTCATACCATATGCATAGTACACATAATCTTTGCATAAAATGTAATTTCTGATTCTTCACCATTTTAATGTAAACTTTTACATTTATGTCGCTGCGATGGTCTGAAGTGGACACATGAAAAGGGTTCTCCAAACTTTCCATGTCCTCCTACATTTGGTAACTTTTAACGTCATCACAAGCCACTTTACTCTGCACTGAAATAAACCTAGACATCTTTGACAACCAAGAAAACCTTCACACTGATTTCAACAGCATTAACTATCACTAAAAATACCTACATGCATGTCTATTTTTCTACAGGAAACTAAACCAGATAAAAACTGCATTTAAAAATATCTTATAATAATTTTAATTACTGGGCCGTAAGAATAATCTGCACAACCCCACACTTCGTCTAGGCATGCATGGGGAGGGGTCACAATCCACGTTCGATGCTCCACGACGCACGTTGTTGAAGCTGAAGAGAGGGGTATTCTGCACTGATTCAGAGGCTGGAGTTACTTGAATGGCAGGAATTTTAAATCTGACCATGATCACTGGTAACAAAAGGAACCACAGGGCAATACCCCTAACAGAATGCAAATTCAGGTGAATCTCAATTTCCAAAACAAGTGCCTTCAGCAAATTGTAACATTTATTTTTTTATTTGTATACTTGAATTTACTTCTCAAAGCAAAAACTAAAAATATATGCGAATACATACTGCAGTATCTGAATGCAGATCCTCACATAAACAAACATTTTGAATGAAAAGTATTGAGACAAATGTAGACACATTACAACTTTTTGCCACCAATGTCAATGAAACTTTTGTGCTCAAGAAAATAGCTGCACTGGAACCTTTTGCCTGACTGGGAAAGAAAACCTGCACATTCACTTGGCAGCCATAGCACACAAGTACAGCAGTAGCAAGCTGAGCTTTAACTGAAACATGTACTGCCCTGTGATTCCTAAGCAAAGGAATATAGCTGGCATTTAAATCTTACCTTGCGAATCCCTGTGAGCTCCAACAGATTCTTGCGCTGCCATGAATACCTCATCCCTTGACTGGTCCGCCATGTGCCATGGTGCAAAACCTGCAAACCAACCAACGCAAATACAGAACATCAATCCATGACACCAACACATTTTCACCATCACTTGCAGCCATGTGAAGCAACCTTCTCAAGATCTGTGTACCTTAAATATTTGTGGGTTATCTTGACTATACAGCACTTAATGAGAGCATGAATAATGAATGAGCAAGCCTTAACTTGTGTATTATCCCTGCATTTGCATATAAGACAGTAAAAATAAAAAAAAACTACAACAGCCAGTGTCCTGACCAAAATTCAAAGGATGCAATTGCCCAATACAAGCCTACTGCATTACATCATTCTGTTCAGGAAAAAAAAACCTTCAGACTGCAGTCCATTCTGCTTATCTCACACGTATTCAGAACTCAGACTAATAAAGGTCACACTGTGCAGGCACAGAATTTTTTTGTATGCAAGATTACATTAACCCATCAAAAAAGTTTCTCTGAATTCAAGCAGTCTTCATATGCAACAAGCTTTGGTCATCAGAGAACTCTGCACATTATTAAAAGAAAAATCCTTCTTGCTGCAGGTAACCAAACCCCAATTTCTTGTTTGTCTACCCACAGCCTAGTCAGTACAGCAACTGAGTTATCATGGCTCATTAGGTATAACGGCAAATCTTGTCATACCAAAAATGTACAAAACATTTTTCAACATCTACAGCCTGCTCAAAAAATTAATATCATGATACTGTGTCAACTGTGCATTTCAGATACCCTCAAATTTTGCTTCAACAGCTGTAACCCATTCAAAATTTACGGATTTTATCTTGCGACACCTGGCATTTTCGGTTCTATCCCATCCAAAATATTACGTTCACTCTTTTCAAAGAACAATTTCATTATTTTCTTCTTCCTTTGGAATTTCAATTTTAACATGGATCGTCCTGTAGGAGCCAGCCCCCCCCCCGGATGTGAAGATTTTTCTACTGGGAGGGGGGGTATGATTAAAAAATGCTGAATTCTAAATCCCATAGGGAAACATTAAATGAATAACAAATTTTAACAGAAAAGTCTTTTGTTACTCATATTTCTGTAGTCACTAAACCACATTTGTAGTCATTCACACATGGGGTGGGGGGTAGTTTAACTAACCCTCACACATTCTGACATTAAAAAGGCTACACATGAATTATCCTACACTGTACTCCATGTGTGGGTATTCTGCCAGGTCAATTTTGTACACCAGTTTGTGGACGTCCAACTGCGGGCTGTTCAACAGTGGATGTTATTTAAGAATTTATAAACACTTACTGGTGAATAACCCAACAGAAAGACGTGGCAATTTTTTTTGTAAACCATATGTTAACAGTCGCAAAAGTTCACATAACCCATGGAGAATTTCATAATCCCATCTTCCGCCAGACCACTACCAGAAAAAACTTCACTTGTGTTCTTGTCCTACAACTCCCAACTTACAAAATATGCAGGAATACTAAGACTCGACCCCAATACGAAACTGCCAACACTTCCCAACATGTAAAACAACTGCAAATATGCGATCATGGAGTTAGTCGTGAGAACCCAACAGATATTCTGCCAAGAAATTTCCCAACCTATAAGAATGTAAACTGCTGCTCACAGTGGCCATACTGTCTAACGCATAAACTGTCTTTGCTTGCTTGAATGCTGTAATCCTGCATTCAAAACCCAATAAACGCATGTATGTCTGTATTGCGCACGTTTCTTCCATTGGTGGTGTTCTGTGTGACAGGCTGATCCCCGTCAAAGACCTACCAAAACTTAAAAAGTGGCCAAGGCTCAACAAAGGGTTGTAAAGCCATAATATGAAATTAATTAGCATTTACAAAAGCCCCATTTCCTGTACTACTTATCCTCCAATCTACACCATCTTAAGGTTGTTACATTTTCAGCCTTAATATTATGTCGCGTATTTCCTTCCACATCGCTCAACACACTGAGCTGACCATTCAGCTCCACAGAATGCCATCATATTCTGGTAATCACACGTTTCCGTTCTACTCCAAGGCATGTTTTCGTTTATTAACACTTAGACAACATCATGAATAACGGACTATGCAGTAACTGTATGCAGCATCCCCAGTGCTGAATTTATTGCAACCACTTTACATTTGCTACTACAAAAATTAAAAATTTATATACATCAGCCATCAGCATCCATAAAATTTGTCCAAATTTCCAGAGGTTGACATCTTAATTTGCATAAACTCCCACTTTCTTTTCGCATGAAGCAGACAAATTGTTACAAATTATTAATAAAAATTACTTCTACAAGTAGTTACCAAAATATGTACACAGTTCAAACCACTCCCTAAAAATGTAGATGACAAAGGACAGTTTTAGAAAATCCAAATAATCACACTGTAAATCGATTCTGTACCAGTGAAGATGACAACCCTGGCTCGACTGCTAAATCACCAGTTTCATTAATCCAATACAATTAGCAAACATGTATTGCAGGCCCATATATTTCCTTATATAGTTAGGAGCCACCTCAAAAAAAACTAGAAACCAGAATAAATAAAATACTTGGGATGAAAAATGTGTTATGTAATGAAAAACAACAGCCAGGTCATATCTAGCTTAGGTAGACAAGGCATCCCTACTAGGTTACTGAGAATACAAAGACCAGAATGACAAAATGTAAAATGAAGGGGAATGGGGATGGTTGGTTAGAGCAATGGTTCACAACAGGGGCCATGCCATATTTCGGAGGGAACACAGGCAAAAGTCTGAGAAATGGGGGGCCATGGAAACTGTTCCATGAGCCACAAAAATTTCACTTCTACAATTAAAAATATAAAAAAAAATTCCAAATGGTCAGTAAATATAACTCAATATCCTTGTTTTCCTATACCTTATTTAGAAGGGACAGAACCTACTGTACTTAAACCACTACCTCAGATCTGGGAATTCCAAGCGCAGGAGTGGGCAAAACCCTAACGAACTGGTTAACTGGAAAAAAAAATATATATATTTTCCTTTTCAGCAAATTTCAGATATTCTTCAGTTCAGTACTCAGTGTCCTATTACTGTGGCACTTCTCTACTTTGCAGGTACGTTTCAAACTCCATCTACTATTTTTCAACCAAGCATTACATTTCATAATAACCTGAACTTTCATTAAAAATATATTACCTTTGAACAGAATTTCCATACCTTCCCTCTACAAAAGCAAAATTTTGTGAATTACAGCAGTTTTGTATTTATTTTAAGCTGAATAGCTTCTGAAGTAATTTTTATTAATACTAACCTTGTACATTTTTCACATCTTTAAAAAAATTCTTAAATAGGGCAGTCATAAATTTTCCAATTAATTAACATTTCTTATATTACAAACAAATGTGTTATAAATAAAAGTGCAGTTGATAAAGTACATATTATATTACATTATAAACAATGAGGGGTGGGGGGCAGAGAAGTGAATGAAACTTGGAAGTGGGCCACAAGCTTTAAAAAAAAAAAAAAGAGGTTGAGACCACTGGATTACCTTACCGCCGTCTTTGAGCCGATTGTCTAGATAGTGGGAACCTCAACGTCTCACAACCCTATGGGCCTCCAGGGCCTGTTACAGGGATAGCTTTACTTTGCTTTTACCACTGGATTAGGGGTACGGAAAGAGAAAGGAACTCAGATGCTGGCACGCCTTGCTCTGGCAGTTAAGGCTCCTTTCTCACTCACCATCCACGTCAGTTCATGGTGAGGTGGCACATTAAACTACAATGAGGCAATTTCCCATTCCATGAACTGCTGATTTCTCTCCTTTATCATCTGCGGTGAGGACAACGTACATTTGTGGCCGAAGTATCAAAGAACTTACCCCTTTCTAACAAGCGCTGATGGAAGAAAGATGATCAGAAAAGGTGCAGGAAGAAACAAGGAAAGATGGATACAAAATGAGCAGAGAAATGGAGGAAATCCCAGTAATTCTCCATGACCACCTAGCACCCACAATTTGGACAGGCCTACCACATTGAAAGACACGAAAAAACGTGGTGATATCCCTGGAATTTGATGATTCAACATGCCATGAAGATGTGGGTGTGGACTTATAGCTCCACCATTCCCAGCATGAGCACCACTTGCATATGAGTTATTAGCTTCATGCTCCCGAAACTTTACTCCTGGAGAAACAGACCCTAGCGCTCTCTGCACACGCAGCCACGGAAAGATATCTTGTCTCTACCGGGATGTAAACACCTGCCTGAAAATCTGTGTCTGACTCCCAAAATTCATATCACACTGGGTTACAAGAATGTGCAGTCTGGAAGGTGAGAACCCACAAACCAGATTACACAGCATTACAACCCAGAAAGACCTCAAAGTGCATCTTCACTGCCATAAAACCTCAAATCTTAGTGTTATTTACAACAAAGATGAAGAACAGTTACTGCCAAGAATGTATATACACCTGGTTGTTACCGAAGCCATGTTGAAATATATTTCACCCCTAGAAACTGTGTATACAGGCCAAACAATTTAAAATACATTAAGAACCTCAAAATAACAAATCACATTATTTTATTTTGTTTCACAACTGTCACTTAACACTTCCATGAAAGAAATCCCAACAAGGTAGCAGCAGGAAGCGCTCCCAAAAACAAAACACAAAGTCAACAGAATACACACATAGGTCATTAGCTATCACATTCACACAGAAAAATTGAGATAAATTATATTTAATCATTCTTGGCAGACACAAAGTCCATAAATTCAAATGGCATCTTTTTTAAAGGACAGAATTAAGGAAACCCCCCCCCCAAGTTAACTTACTTTCCAGCACTGCATTCCACCCGCACTGATTACCCCAAAAATACTACTTCCATACTCTGCTAACTACCAAGATCAGAATGAAGTTCCAAACTTAAAAATCAGATCAAAGGCATCATGTTTGCCTAGTTAGGGCCATCATATGCCTTGGGGGGGTGGGGGCAGTGCAAAGTATGGAGCAAAGGTAAAAATGTTAAGGCCTGAACAAATTGGGGGGGGGGGGCTTTGCTCCAATTCACTAGATTC